GTCCGTGCACGACAGACGGCGCAGGGTCTCCCCCCGCGCCCCGGAGCCTGGCTGCGGGACGGGGGGCCGCCCCGGGACCCCGAGGCTGAGCCCCACCGGAGCCCCACCAGGCAGGGCGGCGAGAGGGGGTGCAGCTTCTCTGCCCCCTTCCTCTGCCTCCCCTCCAACCCCTCACTGCAGGGGGAGGGATGAGGGGAGGACAGGCACAGCCCCCCCGAACCCCCGCCGGGGGCTGCGAGATGCCCCAGCCGCCCCGTGTCACCGTGGGCCGGGGAGGGAACGGGGGGAATTTTGGCGCAAATCCCTCCGGCTGGCACAGGGAGGCGAGACGCGCCTTTCCCCATCCAGCTTCGCCGCCCGTCTCCCGGTGCGGGCGCCCGCTCCCCGCACGGACACGGAGGGCAGCGGGGGGAGCGGGCCCAGACCCTGCCACCCGCGTCCCGCCCGGGCGGAGGGTGGGCGGCAGCCCCCTTCCTCGGCAGGGGGACAGAGCTTCTCGGCTGCTCTCCGGCCCGCGGCGTGGACAAACGGGACGGACCCCCGGGGGCGCCCACGCAGGGCCGGCAGCTGCGGTGCCCCGAGAGGAGCGGGGGGGGCTCTCACCGCATCCCCTGCCCGGGATGCTCCCCGGCTCCGCGGGGCTGCACCAGCTGCCGCAGGAAAAAAACCCTCCTGACCTCAGTGGGGACAGTATTTCTCTGAGCAGTTTTATGTTTCTCACTCTCTCTGTTGTCTTTTTTTTTTTTTTTTTTTTTTTTTTTTTTAAAAAAAAAAAAAAAAAAAAAAAAAAAAAAAAAAAAAAAAAAAAAAGCAGCAAACCACACAACCCAAACCAAGGCACCAAACAACCCGCAGAAACCTCACTTTTCTGGTATCCCCGACCGAAAGAAAGCGGGACAAATCTTATTAACACGACTGTCAAGCTAGAGCCAGATTCATGTTACATTAAAGCCTTCCCAACTTTGCTTTCCGTAATTTTACGTCCTCGGTACGTTTCAAATCGGAGACAACCACATCCTTTTAATCTGACCCCTCTCTGGGTCAATCGGTCGCGCAAGGATTAATTATTGTTTACAAGGCCTGCCTCGCACTAGTTTTGTTCCGATTCTGTTCTCTCCCTCCTCCCCCAAAACGCACCTTAATAAAACCGAAATTTCTTTTTTTTTTTTTTCCCTCTTTTTTTGTTTTTTTTTTTTTTTTTTTTTTTTTTTTTTCCTCCCCTGTATTAAATTCTGTAATGTGGAGGAAACCTCGTGCTTTAAAAGATAGGGCTTTTTGTTTCTGTGCTGTAGTTTTCAAATTCCCAATTTGATTTCCACCAAGATTAAAAAAAAACACCCACCCCAACCAAACAGAGGGTTTAGCAGTTTTTAAGGGAAAAATCAATTCTGTACTAAATCAATATTTGTAGTTGGTTGCAGTATTTAATTTACTCCACTAATGAGCAACCTCTTCTCAGTTTAGAGAGCTTCATTTCAGTTTTAAAAGACCTATGGATGCTCAAGCAGTGGATAAAGAAAAATCCAAATAGAAAGCAAAAGGTTTTATGTTTTAAACAAAGCTACAGAAACCTGAGTTTTAACAACAGGAGTCAATTGTGAATACTAGAGATAGACATAGATACAAAGACCCTTTTCTTCCTTTAAAAATGCTTCTTCAGACTGCTGTAAAATTAAGAGAAAGTTTCATAGCTTTAAATTTTCTCTGCTCTGTGCCTTGTTGGGTCTGAATCCACATCTAGCAAGAAGTACTGGCAGAACAGCCCGAGCACACATACACTGCACAACTGTACTTACAGCTGGGGAGACAAAGGGGTAGGAAAAAGGGAAAGATGTGCTGGCATAATCTATATTGGATCAAACTGCAAAATGGATTTTGTGACCATGTAATTTCATTTATTTAAATAGAAACTTTATCCTTAAAATGTTTTAGACTACCTACCTTTGCCTGACGTTCCCATTCTGACAAAAACATGCTGTAGGCTTTCATGTACCATACAAACAATCCTATAAGGGCTCTGCAAAATCTAAAATGATAGCACCTCTTATGCTTTCAAAAAATACTGTATCTTCTCTGTTTCTGGATCTCAGCACAGGTCACCCTGCTTGGTACATGCTGCTGTGAGCCTCACCTTATCTCGCTGTCTACAGCTGAGCTGCTGTTCTTTCTGGGTAGCCAGTGTGACTTCCAACCACAAAAAAAGGTCAACTAAGCAGCATGAAATTCATTCTGTTGGAGTGGAAAGAAAAAACTTTTGGTGCATGATCCTTTCCATAACAAGAATGTAATTTAAATTATTTGACTTAACGGTGTGGCTTCTTGACTTGGGCACTGAGTGACAGAAGATTTGTTGGTGTTTTCATACCTGTCTCAGTTAACAGAAAAGACAAATGTTCAGGCACATGGAGGACAGGAGACAATCTTTACAAACACTTACGTGAGGCCACAAATCCCAGCCTTGCAGATGTCTCTGCCAAGTTAGTTTTCCAGGCTGTCAGCATTTTCCTGCAGAATGTAGACAAGGGATGGGAAACAGATGGATTATAAAATATTTTAAAAATTACTAAACCTGAACAAAATTTGATAGGACTACAGAAAAAAAAAGAGAGAGAAAGGCACATGACCATCCAGATGGTTCTCACAAACTTCACAGACCTGTTGAAAATAGTGAGGGTCTTAGAAAGGAAACAAAACATATTCTTGCAAACAAACAAACAAACAGACAAATGAAACAGGCACAAGAGCCTTGTAATGAAAATGCTGGCCAGCACAAGCAGAGGTCAGTATCTGTTCGTACTGTAATAGCATCTTGTTTTATTGTTTGTACTAAACAGCACTTGAAGCTCTTTTGCTATTAGGCAGAGTCAATATAATCCTTCCAAACTGACTTTCACATTTCAGAGCTATTTACACCCACTCTACTGAACCGTAGCATGCATACAGAAGCAGTGAGAATGATGTAAGCTAAAGGTGTTATCTGTGGTCTATTTTAACTTGTACCTTCCTACTTCTTGGCATTCCCACTGCGGTTGGTTTAGTGGGTGGATGTAGGAGCCCACTCCTAAAGGAGTTTGTACAGTACTGACTAGAGGGAGGATCATACAGTATACGCTATTGTGGTTCAACCCCAGTCAGTAGTTAGGTCCATGCAGACACTTGCTCACTCTCTCCCTCCCCCTCCCCAGTGGGGTAGGGAGAAGAGGGAGAAA